CAAGAGGAAACGACACACTAATGTAACAGTCTGCCCCCCGTTGATAAGATCCCTCAAACAAACCTTGCGACTGCATTTGCTCGTCCGCCGGGGCCGAATTTGACACCTTAACTTCCAACAAATGTGAATATTTCTGGCATCGGACCAACGCCAACAAGGAACAAGTGAATGCAATTACGGACGCTGACTGTAAGAGAAGAACTGTCACTTTTATTTATTTATTTGTTTTCCAAGCGAACTTCACACTGACAGGTTGCATCACCAGTCAGAGGTTCTCCAGACGTGCAGCCGTTCACGGTGCAGCGTACGGAGACAAAGAGCGTTTTGCTTGTAAAAGACGTCATTCGAGACGGACACACGCCACCCTGTACCATCCAAATCCACAGTAGCCGCTTTTCTTCATGGCTGCCGTCAAACTCGATTAGAGCCGCGGTGATTTAATACTGTTGACGACAGCCGCCATTATTTCCTTCTTGTTATTTTTCCTTGACTGACCTTACGCTGCAACAAATAAATGCAAAAATTATAAAGTCACCCGCCAGATCGCAACAGATCCAGTGTAGTTGAGGAAACGCATGCAGTAACTCACAGGATGAGGTCAGGAAACTTTTATTCTTCCCCTTTTTTATTAGTAAAGCAGCCAGAGGATATGAGCCACTGCTGTTTCACAATTCAAACCAGAAAATAATGCTTGTGTGTTTTCATCACATCGTTTATCACAATAAAGTTACCATGATAAGTTCGACTCATCATCGTCTCGATAAATGTATGATGTTCAAACCCCCTAAAGCTGTCCATATTGTTGAGGTTGTTGGTTTTACTAACTTTTCCATAGAGTATCAATAAATTTGAAAATATGATTAAACATCGTTACTGTGCGCAGAGTTGGTGTAACGAATCACACTTCTTAATCTGACTGGACTCCTAAAGAAGCTAATTATAAACTGTGTGGTTTTCAAAAGCAGTGTTTATGTTTATGAGGCTGTGATTGCCGTTTAATGCAGTTGGCTAAAAAAGTAATAACTGCTGCTTATTGTCATTTTTGTTGATATTACAATAGTACTACGAAATAACCAAGTCAATATCACCCATTCTTACTTATGCGTCTGTGTAAAAAGGTGTTTTTTCAAATGTTGTCAACTTGCAGCAGAAATGTCTATGCATTTATCGGGATTTTAACTGATAGACTTTTGCTTTAAGTAGTAGCAAAATGACTTTTTTCAGCTTTGCAGCAAATTGAGAAAAAAAAAAAAGAAAAAAGTGAAAACTTTGGCACGCACCAGATTACAAGTCATAATTTTCCATATTTTTTACAATGCTGCCATCTTCCTCCAATGGCATAGAAATTTAATTCCCTAAGGATGATGAGTGTAATCCTATGGTTGGTTTCCATAATCTCTTACAAAAAAAAAAAATCCTGGAGATTGACGGATTAGATTATTCCTTTGTTGCATCTCCATCTCCGTTGGCAGAGACGCAGCAGAGGGAGTCACTGTGGATATTTTCAGACAAACTGAAGAAAGTGGCCTGCTTTAGCGTTCAGCTAGCCTGACTCAATACTTCGTAAAAACCAACTGGAAGTCTTGCGATCTTTTTCAGATCCATCTCTACCAGATTTGAACATCTGGGGTCTGATTGGCCGAATCTGATCTGGCGCGATTGGATTATGTTGCTGAGGAGAGTTGACCCTTCACCCCGGTTTCTGGTCTTTTGCAGCCTCTAGCAGCTTTTCAGGCAGGATTGTCGTGTTTTTAATAGCTGCATCTAGATTACCCGACAACTCCGACCAGCTTCCAGAGTCCCCACAGCATGACGGAGCCACCACCGTGGGGAGGATTGTTTGCAATGTGACACGTAGCATTTTGCATTCAGGTCAAAACGTTCAGTTTGGGACAAATTTGACCAGAGTACCTTCTTCCATACGTTTATTGTGTCCAGTGAAAGGATTGTGACAAACTACTTCTTTGTGTGTTTTTACGGCAGCTTTCATCTTGCCACTCTTCCAAAAAGGCAAACTTGCGAAGTTGGCTTCCTGGCCTTCACAGACCAGCCTTATTTATAGATATTAAATTACACTGAGGTGGACTTCAGTTACTAACCAGCTGGCCTTTATATGGAGCCGATAGTGTTTGATTCCAGTCATTGGCATTGGAGTAAATAACGCATACAAGTGCGTACTTTTCTTTTCAGATTTTCATTTATGAAAACCTCAACATCCTTTCCTTTCCACTTTACTTTTACGCACCACCTTGTGTTGGTCCGACACACTGAAGTTAGCAGTTGTACATGGCGAAAAGTGAAAATGAATGGATGTGCGGAGCACCGTATATTTAAGTTTCCTCCCGGATTCCCGCTTCCCAGTAAAAAAAAATAAATAAATAAAAATCTAAACGCAGAGACGAGCGAAACCAGAAATAGCTGCACTGTTACAGTATGAATGGCGCAAACGGTACATTTTCGTTTCTCTCCCTCCCGTCTCGGAGGGGATTTACTCGCATAAAGAGCACATTGGTGATGCAATGATACTGAAGCCTCTGCCAGGAGCTGCTGGAAGCACTTATTTATCCGTTTCAACTGCATTTATGTGGCTTAAGGGTTCCAGTGCTTTTCTTTCCAAGGCACGCACAGGGTTAGACAAACCCAACAAAACAAACCAATTTATTACAAAAATTGGCTGTTTTGGCAAACGGCTGGAGCGCAGCGTTAGCTGCAGCCGGGACTTCAACCTTCTGACGGTTACAGTCGCAAACCTCAAGAAGTTGACCCGTCTCCCCAACGCTCAACTGGAGATAAATGAACACCTCCCTCCCGACAGCTCCTAATTTAATGTCAAAGGTTAAGAGTGACAGCTGAGAGAGTCAAGTCCTGGCTCCACATCCACTCTCATTTCTCACACACACACGCACGCACGCAGTCAGGTCAGACTGGGACAGACTAAGCGGCTCTGTCATGCAGACTATTTGTCTTTCAGTCAATAGAGTTCCTTTCTCAACCTCTCACCACACCTGCCAACAGAATATGTCTCCCCAAATCTCTTTAACACACAAATCCTGCCCCAAGAGAACCGAGCCATTTAACAGCGCAGGGAGTTTCCCCCTCCTCACCTCCCCGGCCCCTCCGCAAACATCGCTTCACGCAGTCAAACCTGAACTCCATCCACAAACGCTAAAAACGGTTCACACCTGAGATACGGCCTGGCATTGACGGCATTGGACTGTAAAAAGGTTTTAAGAGAACTGGAAGCAGATTGAGAGAGTAAGCCTGCCTCTGAAGCTGGCATCGACGAGAGTTAGCCGCAGTTTAGAAGATAAACAAAGCCCTTTGTAAATAAACAGTGCGGCCAAAGGGGATTGGAAGGGCTTATTCCCGACCCTGGTAAAGGAAAAGGAAGGGATCTGAGTGATACGGTGGAGGGGGGGAAGGTGGTGATGAAAAGACCGATAGCTCAGGGATAAGTAAGCAGAGAGAGAGAGTGAGTGAGTGAGCCTCCAAGGCCAAACTTTGAGATTTTACTCTAACTAGGGGAAAACATAACTCTTGAGCAAATATCTAAATCGTAGACTTAGCCATTCAAAACCACAATCTATCTCACTCAGATCAGCAAGCAAACAGCTTCCACTTTCACTCGCCAGAGATCCAGGTTTTAAACCTCTGTTGATTTTATCCCAAGCCTCCGAGGCTCAAATTTATTTTTTTTTCCTCCCTTTCTTTAATCTATGCATTATCAGCCTCTCAAATCAGCGCTTGGTGTTTCCTGGGGAAAACTCAGTGACAAAAACATGAAAGCTTTGTGAATCGGCTCAGCGACCGACTTGGCAAAATGCTCCACAGCGGTTGTGAAAACGCTCGGCGGACATTGGTGAAGGCATGTTATGTCAAGTCAGAATCTTTAACAGAGTCCGCTGTTAGTGACGGCACATGTTGTCGTGGAGTAGAAGGGATGGGGGGGCGAACACTGGAGGAAAGGATTTTTCATTCACACGGGTTACACTTTCTAATCTGTTTGAAAGGTCTGTCATACCGGGAGTAAACATTTATACACGCTGAGGAACTTAGAGCTAACTCAACTGCCGCTGCATCCATCACATCATGCATTTTGCGGAGGACTCAGCCACCAATGTCCCAATCAGGATTTTTTTGTTTTGTTGTGTTTTTTTTTTTTGCCCCTGACGCCGAGCGGCGTCATTTAAGATGAGGAATTTGCCAATAAGGCCTGATAATTAACCTCAACGTCATGTTTGGTGAGAAACACACATGGTATGAATTAGTTTTGTGATTGCGCAGCATTTAACTCGGCAATAACGTCCGTTTCTTCCTGACAGCAACAGATATTTTGTTCCAGTTGGATTTTGTTTTTCTTTTTTTATAGGTCAGCCTTAATATGCTGCTCAAACATGGGGGGGGATTAAACTGGGTCAATAAAGCTACAAGTATAATGTCCTGACAACAATTTACCTGAAATGCAGTTAAGATTTAACAGCTGCAGTCTTCAGTAACCTTCCATTACGATTGTTTTGTGTTGAGCAGTAAGTGGAAGTGCTAAGCTAGGCTAATGCTTCCATGTTTCTCTGTTTTGGTGTAATTTTTTTTTTTTTTTTTTTTGCTCGTGAAGCTGATCGTTTATTTCAATCAGTTATAGCTAATCCTCTGCAAACAAAACTAATGGGAAAAGTTAATAAATGTCTCTATTCATTATGACGTTTTGCTTTAAACGTCATAAAATTTAACGACTGTTGCTTCAGCTGCTCTCTATGCATATTCGGGGGGCCACCATGATGTGGGAAAAGCGAGGAAAAGAAAATAACACGCACAGCAACTTAGCAAGCCGTCCACACAAAAATACGCCGTCGTCTTTTAAAAACATGTCACGGAAACACGACGAGAACGGATATCGGGAGTAGAGTTTCCTCGATGAAGTCGATCGGGACGTCGGCAGTTTTAACGGCACCGCTTTCAGATCCTTTCTGATGGGAGCACAGACAGGTGTGTACTGCAGGTACCTGGAAGCGCTTCTGGATCTCGTAAGTGCTTTGCTGATGACCAGCGAGGGAGCCGACTGTCGCCTCTGGGCGAGGGTCTTCATCTTCTGAGGGGGCAGACAGAAAGAGCGACACAAAACATGAGTCAGAGCACACGCAGAGGTGAAAGTTTGCGTCTGTGTTTTCGGTTACATTCTGCGATGGTAAGGTTGGTGGGGCGGGGGACAGAAAGTCCACAGTCAGCACTCTGTGATGCTGTCTAATGGCTGGAAGTTGAGGATTTAAGAGAAAAGGGTGGAGGAGGGTGGAGGTTTGTGACTGACAGAAAAAGCAGAAGAGCCAGCAGCAGTGGAGAAAGGGAGGAGGAAATGACACAGACTAAAACATAAAGGTCGCAGGGAGTGAAGCAGCATGCAGAGACTGTGGCACAATCCTTAAGATTCCCCAGAATTTGTTCTTAAGATGGCTAAAGGTGTCCTCCCTGACAGGGCCTGGGCCGACATCCTCTCAGCTGCAACGACAACCAAACGGTAATCCAATAACGATAAGCAAAATCACAACAAGTTACTAACAGTGCAACATAAATTAAACATGACTCCGGAGCTCATTTTAACCCAGGACATTCCTGGAACATTCCTGTTTTTAGCAGACTTACATGAGACATATAGGCCACTGTCACAAGAGTCCAGCATTAAAAAAACCCCACCATTGATGAGCATCACGGGACACCAGACTGAGCGCTTGGAGGGATAAATGGTTTAGCAGTGACAGAACAAGCCAGCTCTCACAGACATTTAGATCATTTTTAGACTTTATCCAGTTTCAGTTTCTGATTAGCTGTAAAGCCACAGGCTGCTGCTGCGATCAGATGAGCCTAAACGCAGACCACCAGTCGTGTTTCCTTTTTCAGAAAGGCCCAAGTTGACTTTTCTTTTCTTTTTCTTTGCAAAAATCAAAACTGAAAGCACAACAGTCACTCAAAAAACCTAACCTCTTGTTATTTCTGAATGTGATGAATGACTGGGAGGACACAACTTTAGGGACACAGAGAGACGAAGAGTCTCGTTAATAGCACCGTTTTATTTTATTTTTTTTGGGGGGGAGGGGTTTGCTGATAGACTCAAGAAGATGAAAAGGAAACCTGACGTGCAAATGCAATTTTACACAACATCCATTCAATTACACATCTTGCAACACAAAATGAATATTTTGAATATCTTTAGAGTCTCTGGAGTCGGGTTAATCCTTAACTTTTCTTTCATGATTTATTGATCAGTAAAACCAAAATAAAGCAAACCATCCCAAGACATGAACTACCAAAAAAACGTGGTTAAAGCACAGGGTGCTGCAAAGGGTGTAAAAGCATAAAACCAATTAATATGGGTTATGTTCAAAGCAAAGAGAAGACATACCAGTTAGAAAAGCTACACAAAACAATAATTAAGTAATGCACATGACAGATTTTTGCGTACATTTAAAAATGCTCTTTTGGAAAAGATACTCTGCGCATAGATGCAGTTACCAGCTTTAAACACGCAAGCGAGGGGGGCGCTGTTTACAACAAGTTCTCAAAGCATTTCAAGGAGATTCTGCTAAATCTGAGGGAGAAATATCTACAATGACAATGGCTACTTCTACTAAAAAAACGGCTTAGAATTACAATTCAAAAATAATTTGTCTATTTTTGCACATTGATATTATTGCGAAAATCGTGTTGTAGGATTTTCTTGGTTTAAGTTTGTTTTTCTATCTAAAACACTTTATTCTATCTATAAATCCGCAAATAACCTAAAAAAAACTTTAAAAAGCTTCCCAGGTGTTGGTGGTATGTCACGTTTTTTCCTCATTATCGTACTCCTCACACAGACTCCATAAATGTTTCTTCAAAACAGTAAAATATCTTCTCTAATAAAGTAAAAGCAGAGGCATATTTTAAAAAAGATAACTTAAACAATTAGTAAATAATGACCTCCAAACATCTCGAATACTTAGTCAACATTTTTAGGAACAATTTAGAAAATAGCACGTTTAGAATGCATTTTATAACTATTTCACGTTGAAATATACGAGATATAGTTTTTATAGTATAAGTTTTGGCACCTGAACTCCGTTTTTAATCAACAAATGCTCCTTAGCGGACCCTTAACAGAGGTCGAGTGTCACGAAGCGCACACCCGAAAATGAGTCCGAGCTCCCCGTTACCTTCTTGTTGTCGGGCAGCGGCTTGCCGTCACCCGTCAGAGAGTCGGACCTGTTCTGTCCCATGCTCCCCTGCTGCGGTGACATGCTTTCCATCAAGGCTGTGTACATCCACGGGGCCGAGCGCACCGGCGATATATTCCCATCATACGAGCAGTAAAGTCCACGGTTTACCCGCCAGAGAGGAGAGTGGGTGGAGGATCCATCACAGAGAAGAAGGAGAAGATCCAACAAAAGAGCCTGTGTGTGACTGAGGAGCCAGCAGAGGTCCTGACTCAGCTTGAGCGATGTTTGGTCTGAGCGCCTACTCCACGGTCTCGCTCAAATGGATTGGAGAGCAAGCGAGCTTCCGGTTGGTATTTTCAAAATAAAAGTGCCTTAACGGCTCACGACTAAGCGTACTTTGACGCATCTTGTATCCACAAACTTTTTTTTTTTTTTTGAGGAAGAAAACGGCGTCATTTTAAAACGCAGAGCGGGGAGACAGCTAGCTAGCTAACGAGAGTTTAGTAGTGCGCGCGCACCATGTGCAGTGGGTGACGTTGTCGAGGGTTCGATTCCCGGTCTTGTGAGAAATTCTTTTACTTTTCAATAAAGGTCGCTAGAGCTTTAAAAAGTAGGCAACATATGTTGTAAATAAAACAGTCGTTCAGTGGGTGCTAGATTTATCAAACATTAAACAGAAAAAAACCCACTGCAGCAATATTTAAATCTGATTATATCTGATCTAAACGTGCTTTCAAAACGAATAAAAACGAGTTTGTGTGTAGAGAAAGACAATTAAAACCATCTTGGATGTAGAAACAGATGATAAATGAGTGTTTAAGGATAAGAAGTCGTTTTATTTACACTTGCTGTGACTTGTGGTGTGTGTGGGTGTGGGAGATTTGCTTTGTTTTGAGTGTAATGTCTCAACTGGGGTAGGTGGGGGAAGGCTTGATTTTGAGTGTTTTGGAGATGAAAAAAATTAGCTGAAAAATATTTACAACAACATATGATTTATATTTCCCAGAACCTTCTAATCATTTAGTTATTATTCAAGCACATTTATTGAACACGTTCTTGGCTTTTATTTTGAAAAAAAAAAGAGTAGGCCTAATCTAAATAAATTGACACAACTGATCACTGACTGAGGAGGGCTTGTGTGTGTGTGTGTGTGTGCAGTCAGTTCCATATACATAGAAGCGTTCCTAGACTACATGGCAGTGTGGTCCAGTCCAGGTGTAAGAATGCACTGCCTGAGCCAAGAATAACAGGAGTGATGAGGAGGAATGTTGCCAGTAGTTTCTTTCTTTCTCTTTTTTTCCCACATTTCATGACATACTCATTTGACTTATAGGAGCTGCCACAGTAAACCTCACTGTAGGAAACCTTCCTGGGAGGAGGAGAGTGTTTACTCTGAGAAGTTGGAGGGAAATCTGAGAGCACAGCCCTTCATGAAGTCTGTAGCTGGACATGCTGGTTGGGAGTTTCAGGATTTTTGATTCTGATCGCTAAAACTCACTACTTTAATGGTAAGAAACCCCAGGAGCTGATAGCGACAATAATTATTATTACCTTACAGGTCTGTCACGTGTGGAAAGACAAAGGTATAAATATGCTAACAAATGGTTTTGTTTCCCACTTTTTAAAACAATTAAAGTAAAATACTGCCATTAGCTACGTTAGTGAAGCCCTAGCTGGAAGTTACTCTACTTTAAAATAGTGAGATGTATCAAGTTACAATGTCTATGAGCCTTTATGCATTTATTTAAATTAGTTTTTACAGTTTAAAGCTCTTTGCAAAGGAAATATTGTGGATTTCTTTGGTAGAGCAACACAAAATAGTGCATGTAACCACGAGGTGGAAGTAAACTAACAGATGATTTTAAAGGTTGTCTACAACCAAAACTCAACAGCTTAGAGTTCATTTTGTATTCAGTCCTCTTTATTGTGACACCTCCAAATAAAATCCACAGCAGCCACAAAAAGAGTGCAAAAGTCACCCTGAACTCATCATCTCCATGGTGATGGGAGCGTCGGGATCTGGGGAGCTGGAGTTTAATGGGAACTCATTTCAGTGCAGCTCTGAAACAAACGGCTGCAGAAGATTTTTAACCGGGGATGGAAATTCAATTTCCAACACAACACTAACACTGAACTAGAATGGAATGTTTAAGGTTAAAGCATATTCACGTTTTAGCATGGCCTAGTCAAAGTCCAGACCTAAACTAAACTGAAAATCAAGTAAAAAATATTCTGTTTGTAGATGTTGTGGAACAACTTAACTGAGCCTGATCTAATTTTCAAAGATAATGAGCAAAAACGTTAATCTCTTAGTGAAAAGCCGGTGGAGACAGTTGTCCCCCCCCTCCCCAAAAAACTGCAGCTATGTTTGCATCAAAGTAATAACTGCACACGCTTTCTGAAATTTCTCTTCACAAGAAATGTTGAACACCATCATGTCGTCTTGCTTCTTCTACTTCCTCTTTCCTGTGTCTCAACAAAACACACGAGGGGTCGTGATTTTAAAGAAGAAAACTTTAGAAGTATCAAGGGATCTGACCTCAAAAATCTCTCATTATAGACGAATAACAACAAAAATATGTATTCTTCTTTGCCTGAAGCGTCTAGGACTCTCATCCTGTCATAAATCTATCGCTATTTTGCTCCCAAACTTTGTACGGATAAATAGTTCAACGAGATTCAAGCATACAACGGAAAGTTAGGGAAAGCTCAGTATATTGTAAAAAAAAAAAAAAACAACCACTATCTCCCATTCACAAATTCGAAGGTATGCGTCAATTGTTTTAGCTTATCTCTCCTCTGAAAAGTGGTTTGCTCAGGATGATAAGAGCTCTGATAGCGCTCAGCCGTCCTCTTTGATCCAAGACGACGGCTGAAGATCACCGGCTTCTGTTGAGGGAAT